TTCTTAAACTGTACAGGGCAGGTCCTATTGGGCTTATTTCTTCTGTGCAACTTTACGCGTTTCACAGAAACCTTTACATCAGAAATATTAAATATTATTCTGCCACCAGCCCGTTTATTTAGCTGTGCGGAGTTAAATCTGTTTGGTGAAGCTGCGCTTTACAGCGGCGAGCGGGAGTGGCTCACTGTCAGGCGCCGTTTTCTCGTTTCTGCTTATTTTGTTTCAAATTGGAAAACAAACTATCAAAACGTACACGGACCGAAAATATCATTTTCCAGGTTCTAATTTGGCCTTAGAAAAGCAGTAAAAAATGTCCCTTTATTAATTTGGGAATATTTTAAATGTTTAATAAAGGGGCAAAAAGTCATAAACAAAAATCTGTGATTTTTTTTTTTTTTTTTTTTTTTTTCGCAGCATTTAGTGTGTAGCCTACAGTTAAAATTCAAATGTTAGTGTTCAACTTTGCGGTTTAAAAATACAACAACCGTTCATTTTTCGTTTTTCAATAACGGGTTAAAAAAGGAAAACCGAATGGACGCAAAATTTACACGGACCTTATATTAGGCTATTTAATATTTCAAATAATGTATTTGTAGAAAAAGGATTGGGAACGGACTGCGAAAGCGTGGGCATGAATTTGTGGGTACATATTGCAAGAACAGAAGGCAAGGTTTACAAATCTGAGAGCACGGATTAGGAACTCGTGGGTACGTTTTTTTTTTAATCCGTGAGCACAATTTGTTAAACCGAGGGAACAGTTAAAGAATTTGTGAAAACAGTTTATAAACTGAGGGGACGGATTGCAAAACCGTCGCCACGGATTGTTTTTTCTCCCCACAGGTGTGACTTCCCGGGCTCCGTACTACAGGGATAAAACCCAGTTGAATATAAAAAAGTGCAGTTCAAATGTTACTCCCGCTCGTCATCAGTAGCTGTTACAGTTGCTAGGGGACAAGAACAATCGTGTGAGTTCAGGGTGAGCCACTAGATGGAAGAGTTGCTCCTCAGACGAGACCACAGAGACAAATCACACTAGAGATTTAAAGACTTTATCGTTCCCTGTTGGAGGAAATGGAGGATCGATATGTTGTGTTTATGTATTTCATTGTGATCTCAAAGCATATTATAATGTGTCCAAAATCAGTATTTTCTCAGGTTAAAGGAGAAGCTGGGGAACTTGTTTGTTTAGGCCTATTATTGTAGATAGAAAAACAGTATGAATATCAGTTAAATATTTTAATAATGTAAAGCTTTATATGTTCCACACTTCTGAAATCTTTAAAATATATATAACGTCTTTATTCCTCAAGGAGGCGTTTGACATAATAAATGTAATAAAACATGGAGAGACTCTTCTTAAACCTCAGAGTGAGAAACTTTATTAATAAAGGCAAGAGAATACATACAGCAAATATACAGCAGTAGTAAAGTGAGATCTGTGTCTCTTTATTCTTTTTTTTTTTTTGTATCTGAGAGAAATATAAACAATAAAGCCTTACAAATAAGATTTTTTTTAAATCTCAAAATAATCAAGCTCAAATATTCAGTATTTATTATGAAAAAAACAAACAATAGAAGAACAAAAAAACACACTTGTGGAACCTTTAAAGTTCAGCGTTCTGCTTTATATTTCAATACTTCCTGAAAAAGATAAACATAAAAAGCCATAAATTAATGAATCTCACAGATGCATGCAAAATCAGTTTGTGAGAAATGACATCATCAATCATGTACCTGATGTGTGAATATGTGCTTGATCTCCTTCAGCTCTTCTGGATCTGATGTCATAAACCAGAATGATGACAGTAGCCACGCCCACCAGAGCAGAGAGGACCAATCGGATCACAGCTTCAGTAGGACCACAACAGTGGACAGAGTCTGAGGAATAAACACATCAAACGTTACGACTCGTCAAATGAATCAATCTCTCTAAATCCCTCTTTTCCGCGAGCTACTCTGCTCTGATTGGCCAGACAGCTCAGTCTGTTGTGATTGGTTTACTGCATACAGCACGCGTCGAAAACAAAAATTCACATTGCCATAACACCGACAGCTCTGCGTGTCCTGAGGCTTTCAACACCGTAAACTAAACACCGTAGCGAACAATGACGTCGATTTGACCATATCAATCCGAGCGCGCGCCTGATGATGAAACACTAGAAGTAGAATCATTCATTCAACCCGAACCTCCATCGCAAGGACGACTCGAGCAGGGGTGTGTTTCCCGAAAGCATCGTTAGCCAACTATGTTCGCAAGTTCGGTCGTTACCAATAGAGTTCAATGGCACTTGCGACCATAGCTGGCTAACGATGCTTTCGGGAAACGCACCCCAGGACGTTTCAGTGATTCACTACTCAGTTTGAGGTACATTATAAAATGTTGCTATTCCTCACCATCAGCATTAACAAGTGCATGTCTATCAACCGATTATTTTACTTGTAGGGCCTACTCATTTATTTACAGAGTATGTTTTCTAATATATTGCGGTGAACACGTGGAAACTGTATCAATAACAGTGCATGTAGGCTATGCAATGTATACATTAGCCGAGCTCTAGCGTGAAAGACTGATGTAACATAAAACATTGGTAAAACAAATCTTGCTCCATGCTTAATCTTTCCTCAAAGTAGTGAGAACGACAGACAATCTGCATTAATAGACAGAGTTTTATGTAATAGTGGCCCACAGCTGATTAGCTGACTCTGATATTTGAGAAGCAGACGTCGGTAGAATAAAGGTTAAAGGAAAAGTTTAGGATTATACTGCTGTAGTATCATGGTAAAGATTAATTTTAACCACAGATTCTTCACATGCTCGTCCTTGGGCAGTGGGAAATTTTTTTTTATTTACCGTCACATTGTAGAGCACAGCGTCTCCTCGACATGATGCTGTCCAGTATCCACAGGACTCAGCTGCCGGTTTGAGGTTTATGTCTGCGCCATAGACAGTAAAAGAAATGGACACAGCGACCCCATAGACTTCAATGGAGAAAAGTGAAGCCCATTAGAAGCATCTCTTCCTGATGGCTGAGCGACTGCGCAGGCTCAAACTGAGCTGGACGACGTGGATGTGACATGAGCAACCTAGTAGCTGTGCCATGAGGAATCTGAATCATTCCCTTCCAAATCTTGCAGATAAAGTGAGTGTGAGTGAGTATTAGCTGTCTAATACTAATTTCTCTACTGTGCGACAGAGAGTCGCGTGTTATGACGCAATCGTTAGCCTATTTTTACAAAAACGGCTTCTACGGGGCCATAACGTAAGATACAAAGTTATGGAGCCTTTTATACATTGTCGTGTTTCTTTAGAAATAAATAATGGACAAATTAAGTCTTTGGACGCCTCAGATGTAAAGTTATTCGCTGTCAAAGTGACGCCAAAATGAATGGGAGTCACTGGAATGCTAACAGCAGGGGATGGTCTGCTACAATGGCGGCGCCCAGGAGGCTTCAGTTTCCGGCGGATGGATTACCCCCTTGGTCTGTGTGCGCAATAAGTGGGCGGGCTAATGTTTCGTCTCGACGTCACGATGAAACAGCTTATGACTCGTTTGAAAGACAATTCATTTCATTGACTCAGAGTCGACTCTTACTTTTGAAAGACAATAACTTTATATACGGTGCACTTTCAGATTTAAAACTTTGCAGGATGTTTTCATTCACTTAGAGCTATATTACACACTACATGAAAGGCCATTTTCAAAAATCCATGATAGGGGGCCTTTAACAATTCAATATGTAAATAGTAAATAAGAATATCTGAAGGAGAAGACAAATGATCTCTACTCACCATAGACAGAAACTCTGAATGATTTTGATGACAATCTTCCTAAAAACATCTGTAGTTTATAAATTCCTTCATGTTCAGTTGTGGTGTTTGTGATGGTCAGAGATCCAGTTTGATTGTCCAGCTTCAGTCTGTCTCTGAATCTCCCATCAAGAACATCATCATATACAGTGATTCTGTCGGCCCGTTTATTGATTTCTGCTATTAAAGTGCGTTCATCTCCAAACCTCCACAGAATTACACCATCATCCTTTATTTCAGTGTCAGTGTTTAGAGAGACTGAATCTCCCTCCATCACTGACTTCACTTCATCTGTCAAACACACAGAGAACAAACAGAAACAGGGTTTGTCACAGATTAATACTGTTGGAGCTATTTTCCTTGTTTTGTAATTAAGTTAATAATTAAATTACTTTATTTTGTTTCACCTTAAATAATTTGCATGATTATTTTATTGATGTAGATACAGAATATTAATGTAATTATTTTAGTCAATTTGAGTATTTTTTGGGACTTTTATTTTGAAAGTTCTGCACACCTGTTTGCATGTATATAATGGTGGTCACACTTAGGACAGGCAGGCACTGGGAAAGGTTGTTGGTTTTTTACCAGGGAAAGAGAGGCTGCAGACGCCATTTGTTTGTATGCTTGCTCAAATGGAAATAAACCGCATGAACGATATGCTTGCCTGGACATTGGACTTATTGTGCCCTGCGTAAGATTCGATCTTTAGGTGCCTCAGTGGCCGTTTGATTTTGAGTTTATGTTATTTTGATTTCTTGTTTGATTTAAGTTCAGGACAAAACGCCATTACAAATACTGTTAAATAACTTTATAATGTTATACTAAATTGAATGGTTTAAAATTTACCTTAAGAATAAACAATATAAAATATCAAAAACAAAATTGTGTATGAATTCATTTAAATTGTGTCATTAAAAAACAGGTGTAAATGTTTTTTAACTCACTAATAACAGTGAGACTGAAAAACTTGATCTTTCTGTTCACGGTTGACTTCTGATCACTGTCGATCAGTAGATCATAAACTCCTTCATGTTCAGTTGTGGTGTGTGTGATGGTCAGAGATCCAGTTTGTTTGTCCAGCTTCAGTCTGTCTCTGAATCTCCCATCAATAACATCATCATATACAGTGATTCTGTCGACCCGTTTATTGATTTCTGCTATTAAAATTCTTCCATCTCCAAACATCCACTGAATCACATCATCATCCTTTATTTCAGTGTCAGAGTTTAGAGAGACTGAATCTCCCTCCATCACTGACTCCAGTCCTGAATCACCAAACACACACACACACACAAACAGAAACAGGATTCGTCACAGATTAAGACGTTCACTTGATGGTTTATAAAAGTAAATAGTTCAAAAATTTAAATTCATCATATCCAACAGAAGCAAAATGGAGTTTGGATTAATAATTGTATCTTTGTGCTGATTAAAATAACAAACAAGTGAAACTGATATTTATCTCACCAATGACAATAAGACTGAAAATCTTGATCTCACTGTTGATCTGTAGTTTATAAACTCCAGCATGTTTAAATCTGGTGTTTGTGATGGTCAGAGATCCAGTTTGATTGTCCAGCTTCAGTCTGTCTCTGAATCTCCCATCAAGAACATCATCATATACAGTGATTATGTCGGCCCGTTCATTGATTTCTGCTATTAAAGTGTTTTTAAACCTCCACCGAATCACACCATCATCCTTCATTTTAGTGTGAGAGTTTAGAGAGATTGAATCTCCCTCCTTCACTGACACATACGACCCTATAGCATCTGAAGAACAGAGTTTTTCACAGATTAAAGCTTTAAAATCACTTGATGTTGGTTTGATGAAGCTTCACTAAAATACTTTTAAAACATTTTCAGAACTTTTTTCTCATAAAATTTAATTGGTGTCATCTTTTGAATTCTTGGCATGAAAACAAACTGAGGTTTCTTGATTTTTCATGTTCATCGCTATTTCAGAATAAAGACCCGAACACGCCTAATGAGTATAAAATATTATTTTTGCAAATTTATAAATTATTGCCCTTCCTTTTTATTTTTATTTTAAAAAACAATCACCAAAAATGACAACTAGAGATTGTAAGCTTTCAAATGATATATAGTTTGTCAATATACATTTTTACTAAGATATTGTCCCACCTGTGGGACAGTGACAGTTAAGGGGTAAATGTGAAATTAATAATATTCTGCAGGAAAGGCAAAAGATGATGAATAAAAAGGGAAATATAGTTGGACGTAACCTCAGAACGATGCGATCGTAACCTCAGTTCCCAGAGAGTAGGGAACGAGTATTGCGTAGCTATGTGGGGAAACTCCTTTTCCTCGATTTACTGAAGCCTATCATGTAAAACCATAGACAGTAAAAGAAATGGACACAGCGACCCCATAGACTTCAATGGAGAAAAGTGAAGCCCATTAGAAGCACTCGCTTCCTGATGGCTGAGCGACTGCGCAGGCTCAAACTGAGCTGGACGACGTAGCTGTGCCAAGAGGAATCTGAATCGCCTAATCTTGCAGAGATTCATCAAAAACGGTGTTGAAATATTTTGTCCCGTTGCTTTTATGAACTCTCTATCTGTGGGCTTCTGCCTTGACTTTATGCCTCCATGTCCACCCGATTGCCTCATAGACAGTAAAAGATTGCCTATACGAGCTTCTCCTCCTGTCTATACGGTAATTTCTCTACTGTGCGACAGAGCGTCCAGTGGTTATGATGCAATCGTTAGCATATTTTTCCAAAAACGGCTTCTACGGGGCCATAACGTAAGATACAAAGTAATGGAGCCTTTTATACATTGTCGTGTTTCTTTAGAAATAAATAATGGACAAATTAAGTCTTTGGACGCCTCAGATGTAAAGTTATTCGCTGTCTAAGTGACGCCAAAATGAATGGGAGTCACTGGAATGCTAACAGCAGGGGATGGTCTGCTACAATGGCGGCGCCCAAGGCTTCAGTTTCCGGCGGATGGATTACCCCCTTGTGTAAAACGCATTTGCAGCTGCACAGCTAGCACACTGAGCGTCTGGCTCACTCACTGGCTGTGCTGCGGCAACTGCACATCCAATGGCGCGGGCGCCTCTGACATGTGCGCCAATGAGCTAGCATTACATCATACACGTCACAGCCCGCCAAGGGGCCTTAGCCTATATTAGTCCCCGAAAAGCCAGCGCCATTATAGCAATTTCACTCCTGACGCAATACGAAGTGACCGTTCGAAAGGGAACTAAAAAAGACACTTTTACTTTACTGTTTAACGCCACACTCAAACTAATGCTGTTGATTATCTGAGCTTCATATTTATATTATTTTAATCAATCCATAATAACTGAGTTTAGAGCTGAATTCAAACTCTATCTGACAGTAAAATCACAGTTCAATTATATTTTTATGAGAATAACAGTGAATGTTGATCTTCTCTGACTAATTTAACCAGTAATTTATCACATGGTACCAGAACAGAAACAACTGAAGTCATAAAAACACATTTAAAACTCATCAAGATGCCCAAAACAGTTTTTAAATAGATATAGAATAGAAGAGAAAAAATAAAAGAAAGTGTTAGTATTAACTTAATGGAACAAAAGAGTAACAAGCAACACTTTAATGTACAGCCGCAGAAGTCACACTTACTCTGTAACTACATGAACAAGAGTATATTTCTACAGTATTTCAGCAAAAGTTGCAATAGTTTTAGTTCGGAGCACTTTTGTTAAAAGAAAGTACTGTATAAATGCACAGATATATACCCTATCATTTTTTTAAACCTTATATGTCTTGGTATACTATTATTACAAGAAGTTTTGCAGTGTATGTTCTCGCTAAATTGCTCCCAAATGTAAGATTGTTGTATCATAATAGTAGACTAATAAACCCTTAGTTCTATAATACCTACAGTTATAATTTGTTAACTCTTCTGGTTATTACCCCTTTATTCCTAAAACTTTACATGTTGTAGGTACACTATAATTACCGAAAGTTACACTGTACATTAGTTTTAAATTCGCAGTATTTGCGGGCTGTAATCTAAAGCGTTACCAAACAAACTCCAGCAGCTCGAGCTCTTACTAGAACCAGGAAGTGACATCATATTAGCCGGTTCTGTCAACACTGCGTTGCTCTCTATCAAACATCGCATACATTTCAAAATCCTGATGATTACTATAAACTACTATTACTAAGATCAGAGTTTAGAGTGACTGAAATAAACAATATCATAAAACAACAAAATGAAAAAATTAAGTTTAATTTAATTTTGTCATTAAAAATAGGAGAAACCAATAGACTATTTAACCCTTTCACGAGTGATTCTGACTGGGTGAGTTTTTTCAAGGCAACATTATTTTAGAACGTTATTGTTTCCATGGCGAACCGTCATGATCTTGGTTTAAAATGTGAGATGGCGCCGCAGTTCAAATTTTCTGAACAGTTTAAATCTGACAGTTATGTGACATCACTGAACATTGCAAATCCCATATATGGGACCGAATCACTCAAAAGGTTTACTCACTCCTGACACGGAGAATGAAACTCTTGATCTCACTGTTGATCTGTAGTTTATAAACTCCAGTATGTTCAGTTGTGGTGTGTGTGATGGTCAGAGATCCAGTTTGATTGTCCAGCTTCAGTCTGTCTCTGAATCTCCCATCAAGAACATCATCATATACAGTGATTCTGTCGTCCCGTTCATTGATTTCTGCTATTAATGTGCTTTTATTTCCAAACCTCCACTGAATCACATCATCATCCTTTATTTCAGTAAGACCAGAGTTTAGAGAGACTGAATCTCCCTCCATCACTGACACTGACTTCAACACTTCATCATAATATTCATAATCATAATAATCAAACGTTCCTGAAGAACAGAGTTTTTCACAGATTAAATCTTTAAAATCTCTTGATATTGGTTTGATGAAGCTTCACTAAAATACTTCTTATCATGTAAATGTGAAGTGATTAATATTCTGCAGCAGTTCAAAGACAAAAGATGATGAATGAAAATGAGAAATAGTTCAACAGTTTTATATGATCAATAACTGCATTAAAAAGATCGACTTTAATCTCAAATAAGAATGTTATATCTCAGCAAAATCACACATTATTTGTTTCTATACGAGAATAACAGTGAATGTTAATCCTTTCTGACTAATTTAACCAGTAATTTATCACATCAGAACAGAAACAACTGAAGTCAAATTAACATTTATTTTATGAGAATCAAACCAGTGTTATGTCAGGATCATTTCTAGATTTAATAGCTGTCAGAGATTAATACTGTTAAATCACTTTATAATGGTTTACTAAATTGAATAGTTCTGAACAGTAACTCACCATTGACATTGAGAATGAACCTCTTGAGAGTAAAAGGCTTGTTCTCACTGTTGATCTGTAGTTTATAATCTCCAGCATGTTCAGTTGTGGTGTGTGTGATGGTCAGAGATCCAGTTTGATTGTCCAGCTTCAGTCTGTCTCTGAATCTCCCATCAAGAACATCATCATATACAGTGATTCTGTCGACCCGTTTATTGATTTCTGCTATTAATGTGTTTTCATCTCCAAACCTCCACTGAATCACATCATCATCCTCCATTTCAGTGTCAGTGTTTAGAGAGACTGAATCTCCCTCCATCACTGACACTGACTCATCATCAATCACTCCTGAAGGATAGGCGTAGCCACGGGTGTGCCAGGGTGTGTCGGTGCCACCCACAGTGCCAGCTGGCACACCTAAAAATAGATGCAGAATTCTTTTTTAAGTCTGTCTTAATAAAAATGTTTTTCTAAACTTGGACTATTGTTATTTACTAACAATATTTGTACATTTAAAATGTATTTACATTTTTTAATTATTATCGTTAAAAAAATATCTGCCGACATTCGGACTGCCAACCAATCCGCAAACAGCCTCTGACTGTCTAACAGGAACAAGGTTGTGTTGTTGAGGCTCTCAAGGCCTCATGAGGAGAGATGGAAACAATGAGCGCAGATCACACAAAGAAACATAATGAACATATAGCGGTTAAAAAAGGGGAGTTTTTATATTTATAACATATGATATGATACAGTGTTTAGCAACATCACATGACTATGAGTGCTGAATACCATCACAATTGACCTATGGCTAAGCCACGCCCCCAAACGCGATGAGCCAATCAGTGCGCATAGCTCACCGAATACACTCGGACATTCTCTGCTTCCACGTCCATTGAAATGCATTGCAGTTAGTCAGTTTTCATTCGTTTTTATATGTTTTTTCTTGTCATT